GACAGTATTGATAATTGTGACTTTGCTTCGTATGAAATTGGACGCCATTCCATAAACGTGGGCAGCTACAAAAACGCTTAAAGCGGGAGGGTCGTCATCTGCGCACGCGCGGGAATTGAGTCCCAACACACGCTAAAAACGCAAAGGCTCGTGGGTAGACGCTTGTTTGTAAACAATGACACGCTATGGCCACTCTCTTGTATTTAAAATGAAACACAGATGCTCATAGCGGTTGTACAAACACTCCATTACCAAACGCGTGTATCTATTGTTACAGTATATGCACGTAAATCTAAATACTTGTCTATAGATAAATTTTAAATTCTATATGTCATCTACACATACGTCATCTATTCCTTTTAGTTATGTAGATCTTATTGTCCTCATTCATCTACAAGTTTATCTACGTTGATTGACAGAAAAAGCCAGGCCAAATACTAGTATTGCATTGTATTTGAACTATCGATGCAGACACCAACTCGCCTTTCTCAGAAATCCAATCGACCATTCCGACAATTCTAAAAATGAATGTCAGTTTATCTTTGCTCTATACATGCTAATTAAAGATGATGATAAAACGATATTCCGTGATCACCGCAGCAGGAACATTTTAACATATTTACAAAATAAATTAAGACAGTTTAAGCCACACTGACTAATTATTACATATATTGTTCCCATATATACTCACCTTGTCAGGATAGGAAAACGACACGCCCGAATATGTCGAGTTTCCGTTGTCCAGTCGAATCATCAAAACAATATTTACAATGTACTTATAGGGACATACTTTCATTTGTTACTTCTAACCTTTCTATCTGCTTATATGAGTCAGCGTATCTTTTTTTTCGCAGCCTCAGTGTAATATAGATCTTATCAGGAGTAAAGAGGGTAAGCAAGTTTGTGATCAGTTCTTTCTGTAAACTGAGACGTACCCTTGTATCATTTTTCTTCCTGTGATTAACTTTTGAGTAAAACATACCGAACTAACTGTGACAAACACACCACATTGTGTTTTTCTTATTCTATAAATACTCGCTATTAAACAACTTATTTCTCTGTTGTAGATTCGGGATTTTATTAAGCATATTATATTAATTATAATTATTAAACGGTCAAATGCAGTAAGAACACTTGTGTTTGTGATATTGCATAGTCGACTGGGTAACTTGGCGTCGACCATCTTTGATTTTTACCGCGGTCCATTTTTTGAGCTGTAGTTCGAATGTCCAACGTAAAATCGACAATAATCTTCACGCCATTATATTACAGGGTGGTACTCGTTGCGCATGCGCGAACTATGGGTCTCATAAGCATATGGCGATTTTGTCTGTTGCGCATACCAACGAGTACACACTAAAGGATACCAAGCATCAATTAGCTACTTATTTTTAGGTGTTTAGAAGATATCGAAGAAGTAGTTAGCGGTCATTAGTGCAAGTGGCGCCCAGAGCAAAACTCGTACCCCTGATTTAACTAAAAGAATGCATTGGATTATGGGGAAATCAATGTTTATCAACACAAATGTCGCACATGCGCGGCGCGACGACTACCGCCCTTTAGACATCCAAACAACGGTACATTTCCATTGATATTGCGCGCTACAGATACTAGTGTGTTGACGCATGTGTTTTTTGTTTGCTTATAAGGCGTTATGGGAACGCAGAGATTATTGTGTAATAATAACAGATCTAAACAGATATATAAAAAAACAGTCAAGACAATTTTATTTGTACCAAAATATCGCTAACCACTAATAATGCAGAGAGAACACAGATCTGATTTGCCTTCCTTAACGAACTAAAGTTACATTCCAACTTTGTATTATAAGCAGAACACCTCTCACACGTGATAACTGTGAAAAATGATGAAATCATTTGGTTTTCAAACAAATCCGGAAATATTGTTGCAGTGTAGCACCAAATCAAATATAATTATCATTGGTAGTAATCACTAAGGCCCACTTTACTTATGGAAGTATTACAGAATTGGACTGACCATACAAAGTACTAACGCTATTATGAACTATCTTTAACGCAATAATGACATTCTTAATTCGGATACATGAATATATACCATTTGCAGAGTTTTGGTGTGCATGAGTTCAAGGGCTCCGTCGTTCGATATTCACTGAAGACATTTCCTTCCTGGCTTGTGACTCGAGAAGTTTCTGGCCTGTGACTCGAGACATGTTCGACTAGTTCATGCAAATAACTGCGTTACGTGACTACAACTTTTATACAATATTTTCCAACCATACAGTTTCAAGTAAGATTTGTACTATCTTAGTGATTATTACACAGCAATGAATAAGACTGTCTATAAGATTATCTGTCATATACTCCCACCTACAAAAGTTGTTGTCACGAAGCTGTATTTTTGGCGGGCTTATGCAAAATAACCTTTTGATTCTAATTTTTAAAAATAAAACATTTCACCTATTAAGCATGATATATATATATATATATATATATATATATACACATTTTATAGAATTTTTAGACTTGGACATTCTGAATCCATTTCTTTACTACTATCCATCTATACCGATGTAATATAATACACCATTTGCGAGTTTCTGGTGCACGTGATATCCTGTCCGATTATATAGGCTTGATCAAAGTCGATTCATGACACACACGATCGCAGTTTTGCGCATACAGACAATTAAGACAAATAAATGCAACTTTTCAGGATTTCAAGGTGTTTAGAATCAAACCTTGCCGTGATAGGGATATTTTTATGACAATTTTAATAACAATTGTACGAATCAGCAGGTTGTATGACGTATTTTAACATAAATGTCAAGTGGTACTGAAACCCGCAAATAGTCTATTCAACTCGACGTATGTGATTCCAGACATAAAAGATTAATCTCCGAAAAACGTATAACATTTGCATATTTACAGAGATAATAAACATCAATTGCTAATTACATATGCTGTGAGTAGCAATGACTCGAGATGTGTCCAGTTTGTGACTCGAGAAGTGTCTGGCTTGTGACTCGGGAAGTGTCCAATAACTGCGTCACGTGACTACAACTTGTTGGGATGTTGTTTCAAATTCAATATTTTGAATATGATTTGTACTATCTTAGTGATTATTATCCCGCCTACAACAGTTGTTGTCACGAAGCAGTATTATTTGGCGGACTTAGACAAAATCAACTTTTTGATTCTAGTTCTTTAAAATAAAACATTCTCACCTATTAAACATGATGGAAACGGTGGGAAAGGATACAGTATTTAAAAATAAATATGTACATACGAAGGACAAGTATGTCATTGGAAATTATGTGACAATGACTTTCATGCCACGTTGTCATGTACCATGTCTTCAGCATTTTCGTATTTCACAAACACTCTAAATGAATGGAATATTGTGAGGTTTATAATGGATATATACACTCATAATCGGATAAAAGGATGAGACAGAGTATTCAGTTATGACAATACATATATATATACAAAATCTATAGAATTATTAGACTTCGACATTCTGAATCCATTTCGTTACTATTATCCATCAATAGACCGATGTAATACAATATACCATTTGTGAGTTTCTTGTGCACGTGATATCATGTCCGATTACGTAGGCTCGTTCAAGGTTTATTCATGACACACATGGTTCGCAGTTTGAACAATTAAGTCAAGTGAATCAAACTGCCTTACCGTGATAGGGATATTTTTATAACTATTTTATTAAGAATTGTACGAATCAGCAGGTTATATGTCACGTGGTTCTGAAACCCGCAAGTAGTCTATTCAACTCGACGTATGTGATTCCAGACATAAAACATTAATTTTTGAGAAACGTATTACATTTGCATATTTACAGAGATAATAAACATCAATTGCTAATTACATGTTTTATCGATTATATATAAAGTTTTTTTTTCTATCACACTTAATTTTATGGGTTACTTGGCCAAGTTACAGATTATTCTTCAACAATAAACATCAACATATTGTAATCAATGTTGGATGAGTTCAAAACCCCTGTGCTGTGAATAACTAAAAACTGTTAATATTAACTTAGAGAATCTCACTCTTGTGTTGCATGTTACTTGTATGTAACCTGTTACAGTGTACACAACAAACTCTATCTAATTACATTGTCTTGCTCCATTTGTTTTTACACTACAAAAAGACCTTTCGTTTTCGACATTGTGGGGGGGGGGGTCAACTGATTATGACAAGAAAATTTAGAAATATATCATAAAGAAATGTATTCCTTATGCAAGCTACTGATAATTTTCATAATTTCCGATTACACACGAATATTACAGAGATATTTTTTTCCTTGTATTATGACTGAAAGAGGCTGAATTAAATTAAAAACTTTGTAGTATGTTTAACAACTCTTTTATGAACAAACATGATTTTACTTGTTAAAAATGTTTGTTTCGCGAACAAAAAAAATCACAATGTCGAAAACGGAAAAATCTTCAATATAGTGTTATGGGATGACTGGACTAATATATTAGTTATTCTGCACAGTACGTCATTTAAGCTTTCCTCATTAAGTAACTCACTGATGTCAGCTTCGTTTGTGTTTACTGTAATCGCGATCCTTATCACACACCTAACATTGAAAATATAATCAAATGTCTATCAAAAAAGTGTTATCGTCGTGTTCTGGCACAGTTTCTCAATAGCTTTGGCGTATACTGGATTCATATATCGGAAATATAAATCTGAAGAATGCAAGTGTATATTCATGATAATCACAGTTCAAATGCCATATTGGCATTGCTCCGGAAAGTGGTATATTTAACTCTGTACCAAGCCATTTAGGTGTGCATATCCATTGAGTTTCTTGGTTTCCACATTTTCACCTTCACTATTCCAATTAAAATGACGATGTCAATAGGATTGTCCACTGCTCTTCGATCAACCGAGATTCCGATACAGATCTTGCAGTTCAATGACACATTGACTGATCACATCTTGAGATAACGTTTTATTAAAAAAAGGCACGTCACTGAGTTTACACGATAGTTATGGGAGTCGAATGTTAACCATAAGCTTTTTGTAATTCCATCTTGATATTAATTGCATGATGGCACCACGATTAAACATCTACACAGCAGTGACGTCAGAATCACTATTCCGATTCACTCCAAATTGATTGTTGCAAACCGAGTTCATTCTAATCTGAAAAATCAAATATACAATAATTAACCAATGTGAAACCAATGCCTGTAAGATGACAGAAACATGTGAACGTCATGTGTATTACCGGTTGATACGGGCTTGGTACATGGCTCTCTTATATCCGTGTTGTTTTACACCTCATATACTACAACTATGGCAATGTATGAATGTGTGAAGCTGTATCATACATTCATTCCAATATGATTGATTGAAATAGAAAACACAAAGTTGTGTATAATGTGATATGAAATGTGTACAGCGGTGTAGCCATTATGCATGGAATATTTAAGCGAGAAAATAGATTAGAAAGAACTGCCATGGTAACAGCACCAGAGTCGTCAAGTACCTTGTGACACAGAAAGGTAAAATTCAAGCTTATGCTGATTTATATTTTTAACGAGTTTGTAAGCACAAATGATCGACAGTCATTCATTTGGTTGTTTTAAAGCACGTAGGTTGCGAGAAAATGTCGAGTGCTCGACTGGAACAGCCAAATCCAGAATGCGTCGAAGTACTGCGAAACTGTGCACTCGACTCAGTGTCAGCTACGTATAGGAGGGGACATGGCAGAACTAGAGACAGTGATTGACAGCGAGAGACGAGGTGATATACAAGAAGAAATGAATTAAATCGCCACAGTCGTCGCGACGCATCATGTTCGATGTGGGACCCATGCGTCGTATACAACACAGGTACAACATTATTTGTTCACACGAAATTCGAACACGAGCTACACGGCAACTGTAGCGCTTTATACGTGAAATGAATGTGTTAGTTTCAGACTGTGCAGTACACCCTGTAAAACAGTCTGAGAGTAAAAAGCGAAGCTCTAAGGACGTTGCTAATGCAATATTAACATGCGTTCTGTGTACTTTAAGCGAAGCAAGCAACATTTGCCCTCTAGCAATGCGTGATGCGTACTATCGTGTGCTTTTCCGTGGTTGTTAAGACTTACGTATTGAAGTTTGTCTTTCCACGAGGGGGAGCGGGTCACTTTCCGACTCGCCATCCGCTACAAAAAGACAGAAACGCAAGCAATCTAAGAATATAGACAGATGAAGCTGGTCTTCCTAAGTAAATCTATAAAGGCAAACAGCGATGAGCGGGAAAATATCTAGGAATTACTGAACTGAATGACGCAATGCTGACATGCTCAATGCATTGGAAGAATATAGCCCTTGAATCGAGGTACAAATTAAAAACGATTCTTTGTTAAAACATTATATGCAGTAAACAACTCCCTAAAAGCTTGCTATTTCAACATGCTGGGTGCGAAGTAGTGATTTGTGTGCAAGTCATTCCAGTCTGTATAAAATTGGGTTGTAGCAGTGCTCAGGAAATTTGCAATTTACTATGTGCATATACGACACATGCACTCATACACACCTATTCTGGGATATAGACCATTATAAACTGTAGCAACGGCAATTGCATGTGCATATGCAGATATTATTAAAATAAATGGGATGCGTTCATGCGACTTCAGTGTTCTTTACTGCCATACGCATTTAATTTGTATTTACTATGGGTAATGAATCTAGTGATTAGGATATGTATTGATATGGCTGCTAAATATCAGCCAATATATTCGAGAGAGAGAGATGATTTGCCATGTGTACGAAGAAGTTTAAAAAACACATTACCCCAAAGATGCTTAATGAGATCCAATCAATTAACATATTCACAAATAGGTGTGAAGATGATAATTACCAATCCAAATGCTATTCATGCAACGGGATTGGTATAACATGGGGAAATGTACATGGTTTAACATATTGTAAGAATTGACACATCTTTCGACTAACTGGCGATAATTCTTACCTCTGTCGTGCACGTGTTGTTGGTGGTTCCTCTCCTGCCACTACTCATTGGGTTCCGTGCATCTTGCCACCTCGTCCATCTTCGTTTAATGGCTTGTTGCACCTATATTGTCAAAAAAATATAAATAATTGTCGTGTGTAACGACAAACACAAAACTTTTCATTTATATCCGGGTATGGTGCTCACGAAAAGCTTTTCGTTATTTTGTAGAAAAGTTGCATTATTATTTCAACATCACCCAATTTCAATGTGACACTCACCTCGCCATTACAGAAACAGAAAATCATCGCACATACAAATCCTTGAAATGTAACTAATATACTTGTGGCGTAGAAATATAAATATACCACCCAAGCTTCTGCCGTGGCTTTTGGTCTGTCTGGCAGAAACAATAGGTTGGTAACTCCCAGTAGAGGTACCAGAACCAATGCTGCTTTAACGGCTTTTCTGAAACGATAAACGGATTATTTTCTTATATTCAATTGAACACATACACTACACTGAACCTAATTTAACAAACACACTTCTGTTTAAGCGTACCCTAAGACAAATGTGGAATAACACGTTTATCAGACAACTTTGGTCCGTCCCTATTTTCCCGCACATGACCTTGTATAGAAAAATATTTACAAGTATCAGCAACTTTTTTTAAAACTTATTTATTCACTGATCAAAACTAAGGGATAATTTGTCAACCCCAAATGTATATTTAACACATTTGTGATGTTTGAATTTGTCTAGAGAATACTTTTACTAAATTGAACGCCTCAATAGTATATCTTAATATTGTATACTTATTCTGTACACAAAGTATACTTTTTGAAATTCATACATGCAAGAAAACACCAGCACGTTATTTGTATACATATTTTATACACATTCATTCATGTATATTTGTTGTATACGGGAAATGTGCAGAATGTTTTCAAAGAATTAAAATAATTTATATGTAAATTAGATGTACGAAATCGTGACTAAGAATCGGAAAGAAACATAAAACATATGTTAAATTTATGTATGATAAATAATTATAAATGATTTGGCAAACAATAGTACTATTTGTATATACCACCTAGAATGTACAAACAAAATAATTTAGAATCTACGTGAAACAAAATAAACTTAACCACGCACACTAGTAAAATTGATGTATACGTATTTATGTGTACAATATATGGACTGTTTTAAATAATGTTTACTGAATTATTTTAGTCATTATAAAAATAGTATACAAAAGTTGAATATATTAGAAACTTGAACTCCTGACATGAATTATTGTCATTTTTTGATCAATGTAAGAAATTAAACTTTCCATTACATATCTAGTGTTGTCATTTTTCAGTTTTATCAAAATACAATGAAAAAATCATTATTCTGACTACAACCAGTTTGCTGTACAAATCCGAACGACATATAAGCCAAACAAATAAAACAGCGAATATAGATTTATGTAGTCAGTCATATAACCAATTAATGTATCAAATTACTAAATGTAAGTATAAATAGATGCAATTACAAGTAGTTGGGTAATACGACTATACACTGAGGAAAATGAAACCTACTCGTTAAATTCATGTTTTTTTTAAATATATGCTATTTATGAAATGCTCTTTGTAAGATTGTTATATACAAATTTGTTCCAAATATAGGTTCCTTCTTGTATACAACAATTTATACATAAAATGTTCAGAAGAAAAATCGAAACTCATTAATGAATTCTGGTAATTAAAATATGGCATAACACACAGGCATCGTTCACCGTTGGTAATTACATGATATAAAAAATACATTTGACGAAAACTTGTAGCACCAGGCCCGGCACTAAATGAATTATATAAAGGCCTATTGACTTTACATGTGAATTATATAGGGACTATTCAAAGGAAGTCTTTATATAATGATGGTCACAAACACGTGTTTAACTACATGTGCTATCGAGTATACGCTAATGTGACTAAAAGGCGATTTATTATAATTCAAATATACCAAAATGCCGTAACATGGGACCCATTCAAGGGTACATTCATAACAATTTTCTCTATAGATGATACGCGGTTCAATATACTATTATGAGGTTATTACGATAATACTGCAAAGTATACATGATGCAGTATATGACCGTGGTATAGACCAAGGCATAGCGGAAGCCAATGCGTCACCGTATTGCCTGAGTGCATACTTTGCTGTATTCTCGTGACAACCGTATTATTATCTATCTTTTTCCTGTTTGTAGTAATAATTTCATGAGGGCTAACACTCCGAAATGGCGTTTCTGTGCCTGGAAAGAAAGGAAAGTGCACAAAAGTGACGTAAAATTGGCGCATTCGAACGTAACACTTTCGAACACGTCCGTACGGCGAATTCTATTGTTTTCGGTGTCATATATATATAATAATATGTCACACTGTACTCACTTCACTTGCATGGTATCTGTCGTATGACTTTCTCTCATCTTCGTGATAAGAACCCGTACAATGTTGATCAGAAAAATCAAATTGATCTGCAAAAAAGACAGATAGAAAAAAACAAATATCATAATATCAATTTGGAAAACAAGATCTGCACCTTGCTCTGAAATATTCACGACGAAAACGTAGTTATAAACTACACAGGTGGGGCAGGTTGCAGTAAATTGCCCCGAGTTAATTCCCACATTTCCCGTGTGCCATTTTATTCGGGAAAACAAAATGCAATATTATCAACTCTCGTTATTGTTATTACTGAAGGGAATCTTCAGGGAATGTGCACTTCCCGATGTAATTGCTTCGAGACTTGACAGCGTACTTACAAATAAGATGGCGTTACGTGGTCCTTCGATCAACCAGTAGTAAGGGGAATAATAATAGCCAAACCAACAGCTAAAAGATAAGTAATGATCTAAATAAGAACGTGATAGGAAATGAAATGTCTGATGTGAATAGCAGATTATGAGTTCTGAGGTTTAGGATTATATCTTTTAATGAAACTGTCTTGTCATTCTCTAGTGATTACATATACGTCTTGTACGATGTAACTCACATATTAGAGAATAATCAAGATCTATTGCAAGTGCCAAGACATTACCAAGATGTGATGTAAGATTACTTACTTTTGGTTATTGGTATACGACATGGCCACAGCCCATCCTATGACGGGTAGTAGAGGTGCAACTAGAAAAAAAAACACGCCAAGCGTATGTTACAATACATCACTTCCATGAACACATTGAATCTACACAGTATGAAAAAGAGACATACTGAGGATCGATTGGGATCACACTTGAGCATTCAAGTCTGAAAATGCATTTCTAATCAAATAGAAAGTTTTTATAACGCCTTTTAAAAAATATAAACATATAAGGCGTACTGTGAATAAGAGGGAGGTGATGCCCAGTGTGTCGGCCTAAATTCATCTCAGGTTGCGTATTCATGATGTACCTGAGCATAAATGTAATGTACTATTGTAACTTTATTTAACACATAGATCACTTTCAAGCACAGCAGTATATCAATTGTCTCTGACTGTTTAGGACTCCAGGTTTCAATATCTACTTTTCTTCACTTAAAGTGTTGATTACACCCATGTGAAATCAGCTTGATTCAACTGACTATTTAAGACAGCACAAACGACGCAGCACAAAATCTTAAAGGGTGGAGGTCGTTACGCCACGTACGGCGACTTTGACTAACGAGTACAAACTGAAAACTTTCTAAGCTTTAACTATGTAATTTCTTTGGTGGTGGGAGATATCGAAGGAGTCACCGGTGGTAATTAGTGCACGTCGCGCCCAGATCAACACTCGTAATGGTAATTTCTATTAGGAGAGTGCATGGATTTGTGGGAAATGAATGTTTATTAACACAAATGTCGAACATGCGGGACGCGACGACCATCGCCCTGGAGTTTTGTGAGTGCTTAACATCTAGACTAATCATACCCATGTAAGAGAAACCCGCTTTGCTGGTTTCTTATTTGGGTTCCATACGTTAACCCACGAGACCCATAATCAATATAGACTAAACTCAACTGAATATGTCTGTTTTCAGACACTTAAAAATATACCATTGACAAGCTTGGCAGGTTTGTAGGATTTTATAACTCGCTTTGATTAGGGTATAATAGTTCAATTACACTCAGATTAACAAGTGACGGTTGAAAGCTTAATTTAATAATAATAATAATAATAATAATAATAATTGTCATTATTATTATTATTATTATTATTATTATTATTATTATTATTATTATTATTATTATTGGGGGTTCTCCCCGATTCTTAGTCACGATATCCTATGTACATGTAAATTATACAATATTTAGGATTTTAATCCTTTGAAAACATTTCCAGTATACGACAAATATACATAATGGATTTGTGTAAAGTATGTATACAAATAACGTGCTGTTTCCACATCACGTGACATCAATTGATAGCAATTAATTATTCAAACTCGGAATTGTGTCTCAAATCGTCGTGGAGTTCTTCCAACTAATTTGAGTCGTGGATGGCGGGGAGAGAGGCACACACGAACTATCCGATTTGATTTGGGATATAGTTTGTTATATGAATATGGAAAGTAATGAAACTTGTCAATAGAACGATACAATAATTAATTGGTAGACACAAATAGTTTGGAGGACATTGGACAAAATCGCAAAACTTTGTCTTTTGACCACCACGATTGTTGTCGCTTTAGAATCCGACCGCAAGAATACTTTCTTTTCACTGCCGTTCTATTTCAGTTTATCCTAACCGGACTGCGATTTTTTCACGTCTTTCGTCTTCCATCTATATAACAATCAATGATTTTATTTCTTTTTGCATATTTGGTCAACGATAGTGCGATTACGTAATCTGGCGCTTGTTCACATTGTAGTTATTATTCAGTGGCGTTTATGTTAGAGATCTCGGTAAGTGCCGAGACTCGGGACCGAGTCGGCGCGTGCCGCAAAAAACTCGATCTCGGTTCCGATAGATGCTCGGGACCGAAAGTCGGCACGTGCCGAGATTTGCTGCCTAAACGCTGGATACGAAATCACGCCCTCGGTGGTGAATGGAAGAGAATATACTAGTATGCTGATTCATACAAGTATGACATGACAACGGAGAACAGAGCAGCTATATATGATCGGATGCTGTAGTAATGAAATGAATGCAAACCGTCGTTAGCGACGCATATTTATGTGCTGCTGCAACCGTTTTTTTTTCTTGCAATGCTACATATAATTGTTTTTCGAATCTTCTCGGCAGTTCATGTGCACAATGACTCGTAATAAATACCATAATAGCAAATTGATATAATTTCAATTTAGCAATTATTATTATCATCATATATATATGAATTAATTATATGAATTTCGACACGTACTGTAATCACATAATGTGAACGTAGCAATTAGTGTCTGACTTTGCACCCCTTCCCAGGCGTAACTAATTTATTAGGCAGGCCTAAATATTTATGTTCGTGTTCACACAAGAAATGTTGCAACCCTAAAATTTGGGTAAGCCTAATGATGCCTTATTTTTTATGCGAATCCACCTACTACCCCCACCACAAGACATTAGTGAACGCCATCCGACCTATCAGGTTCGCCGCTTTCTCATTAATTTGGAAAATGTAGCTTAATCCGAATTTTTTTTTGAAAAATATAAACGGATGAATATCCGTCATTGTCAGCGAAGAAACTAACATGAATAGGAAGATTTCCGGAGGGAGACAAATTGCAGGATAAATGATTTATTTTGGTAAACCGGGAGAGATCGAGGAATAAGTGGAATATATAGAATTGAAACATATATGTTCAACTGTTCACAAGGTAGCTGCAGCTTTTCTGATTTTTCAATATATACTGAAATGTTCCGAACTAACAAATCAATATATAAAGTTATTGTCAATTAGGTAAAAAAAATGTATATACGAGTTTATTTAATAATAATTATTCCAAAATTTTAAGTTTCGTTTATTATATTTATGCCCACAAATATTATTTCCATTTCTATGGCTGGCATCATAATGACCACGTACTTCCAACTAGAATCACTTAAACGCCACAGTACATAATGTGATGTCTTTGATTGCTGAGAAGTCAATAAGCAAATATATCGACCGCCAAATGTGCAAATCTCAATGATGGGGCTACATAGTATAATCGTATTTTGTATTACTTACCCCAGCCTACAAAGTAATACACTTTAAAATTCGGTTTGTGAAACACCGCTGCCGTTAACAGTCTGTGGAGGTATATACCTTCCACGAAGTTCCACGTAAACACACATACACGGGTATACTCCCTGACGAACTCGAATGTCTCACATAGAATTGGCTGTTAACATATAAAACAAACAAATTCCATCAGAAATGTGATGTTATACTGTGGGTACCAAAGCGAGTCGAAATTTATAATATATAATACATGTCGTCACAATAATTAGAACATGGTACAACTCATCCACAGTCAGCTAGTGATTAATTTATCAATATTTACTATATTGGGGCCGCCATCTTGAATACGGAATGAAACTAAATAAAGAAGCAAGTTGACAAACGCGTTTTTCACTTTCCTACAAATCAATAGGAAAATACCAAACTTTCACAGCCAAACGATTCGTTGGGATAACATGAAACCAACAGCTTACACAATTCAGCCGAATTCGTAATTTTGCGTGGAAAATCCCATGCACACGAATACCTAATTACACAAAGAATGTAGAACACTTTCCCGCAGGGATATTGAAACCGTCATCTAACTTTGAGGCCGTCGCTGATTGGATCCTAAGTAGGATGACGATTTCGGTTTCAAAGAAAACTGGAAGATGTTTGTGTAATTAAGTGTTCGTATGCAAGGGTTTTTCTAGATAAAATCGACGAATTCAGTCGAATTTTGTTAGCGGTTGGCTTTATTATCCCCAACGGATCATTTGACTGTGAAAGTGTGGTATTTCTTCCCGATTTGCAGGAATCTGACGAACGCGTTTCCCAACTTCTTTCTTATTTAGTTCTTATGACGTATTCAAGATGGCGGCCCCCTATATAGTAAACATTGGTAAATTCATCGCATTTATTTTATTATCACATGTACGCCAGCTGACTGTGAACTCATCGGTAATATTTACGATCAAATTCAACTTAAAAACCAGACACATGCCGTATATACTTGTTATTCTTATTGAGTCACTGCTAGCATTGGATTTTCGAAAGAAATATACTCTCACCGTATTTCGTATGGTATTGTGGTGCTGCTCCACGGCCTCACTGCTGTTACAGCCTAGTGTTAACTCCTTTTGCTTCTCTTCCTGCTGGAAAGCATAGTCGAAGGACAATATGAATTCAATACCAATCCACACAATGTAAGATATAAATAGTTGTTTATGGATCTGAGTCCGAGGACATAGTAGGCTCCTGTGAAATAAATGAGTGAATCACCTTAATCATATTCTAGTGATGTTAAATAACACATTGCACACAAACCGAGCAATAATTAAAGCACTAATATTATCCCTGAGTTGTCCTAAAAACGGAGATAATATTATCTCTGAGTGGTTTCAAGAAAAGAAAAGACAATATTATCCTCAAGGGGTTCCATGAAAAGAAGAGACAGTGGTCAAAAAGACAATAGTACCCTTGTGCGACCCAAGATTGACGGGGATATTAATTCTCCTTAGTGAGTGGCCCGATAACAGCGAAAATAATACGTAATTATGTAGTAAATTTTTATCAAATTGAGCAGTTTTGATTATTTTTGCATTTTCTGCTGGTAAAATGAATTAGTCATGGGGCATCATAATTCCGTGTTTCTTGAAAGTATGTACAATGGTTATATAATCGACTTTAGAATACTGAAACAAGAAGTGATACAATGTAATAAATGACGGAAAAAAGTCTCACATACTGTCAGAGATCACAATTTCACGTGGTGCTTGATTACATCCCCGGATGCTACTGGGCTATATTGATGCACATATATGCATAGAAATCACCCTTACCTGAAGGAATAGAATATAAATAAGGCCGCTACTAAACTAGTCAATGATATGGAATACCCAACAGCCTGTAGAATTCTCGAGCCCGACATCGCATTTCCATAAAGCTGTAATAATGTAAAACAAGTACAATAAATGTTAAAATAATACTTAGGAGTTCTGTATTCGGTATGTTGGCAGAATAGAGAAAATGTGGTCGAATTAAAAATCATAACAGGTGAGTTTTTGGTAACTTATTAAAATAAATGTAAAAACGCTTGTTTTCATCAAAACTACCTGTTATAAGTTTTTGTATGTTGTCATGTGTTCATTTGCATCAGCTGTTAACCCTTGATATATTCTAAATCCCTGAACCACTCGAATACTATAAGGGCATCGCAGATATTACAGATTGTGGTTCGATTTAATGCAGTGCTGTCCAGAGACCCGACGTGGTTAATAACTCGAGTGTGTTTGCGGTTCTCTTCAGTCTTGTGGGGATACGTAGATAAAGTGATTTGTTGAAACCGGAAATGTCCCTGTGTTCGCGATGCATCGTGGATAATGCACAAACTAAAACCAAAATGGCGATATTAGGATATATAAATGCAACTTAATTGAAGTCGTGAAGTCGGTCATTTACCTCTATTTGGTCGAATGTAGCTGTATGGTCGTACACTACACCGAGTAACCGTCTGGTCACATCGTCCATGCACAGGGAGAATACATTTCCAGTGCTTAACGAGGCATTGTCCCATACTCCACCTGCTTGGCAAAATAGTGGAATCTTCCCTAAAAAAGACAATAGCATGCAAGTAACGTTTTATTATTATTGTGAAACGTTGACATCAATGTTGTTAACGCTTCGCGTATATCTTTCCATTGGATTGGGTCATATGATACACCCGCCAAGACACCGAGTTATGCCGGTACTTCGATAGGAGCATACAGTGCAGGAACTCTGACTCGCTTGGCAGATAACTCTTATGTGGACACTAGTACCAGACTCGACCCAAAGGAATAAACATTTGAAGTAATCATAGATAGAACACATTATTACTAGTCAACCGAGGTGCCCAAATTACAGCTTCAACTCCCTAACTCCAATTACACTTGCACAATTTCTTACACCTGTAACTGCTCTGTTAAATATCTAGGCGTATATGTTATCCATCAATATCTGCAAGACAATGGCGTATGACGTAAGGGTAACTAACCTTGCAAATGTTTACTACAGTATATCTATGAACTTAATATGTGTTTTTCATTCGGTAGTATATTCATTCATTCGACCAATGAAAATCGATGTACTTTGTTTTGCTGGTAGTTTAGATAATCTGTTTACAAACGAACAGCCGAAAAATTGCTTAAAAATGAAATGCTGCTCAAAAGTTAAAAAAACAATAATGCGATTTTGTTATACTGTTATATGTGCTCTTTAAAATATGTGCACATACACATGGTAATTTCTATAAAAACTGCCAAAACTTGGCGATTTTAACAATGCAATTGTACTGCATCGGCATCTTTGTTTTATATGAGAAGAGTATGCAATGTGCAAATTAGCTAGATATATTATTATCCATATATTATTAAATATTTTGAATAATCCGGATTTGACGCATGTTTGTTATTTTTTAAATACTCATCCTCTTGAGGTTTTTGAACAGTAACTAGGTATAATACAGCACTGAGACACCATGTAACTGAATTGCACACTTGAGTTTGAACGCCGTTTACACATTCTGACAGCATGGATCTAATCAATAACAACAGGATGACGATTACTATCTTCCATATGTTGATTATAGCTCTAGGTTAAATATAGTCACATCATATCATCTGCGTAAGAATCTAAATCTGAAAATCAGATGTACCTGTATTTCCCCAGAATGCCGATGGAGGGCAATCGATCACTGCGGTTGTGTTTTCTAGTGTTGTTGGCCAGCATAAACTGAGACACATATCGTCCAGGGGTTGACAGTATCCCAAACAGTATTGATCTGAAAAATAAACAAAATGAACATAAACGTCTTCAATTGGAATACTCTACATAAGGCGTAATGGCAAACACTCCTCGTATGGATGATATGTTTGCAGCCACACGTCACGGTCGATTTAGACATCAAACAACGACAATATAATCGAAATAATTAGACTTTATAGTACATTGAATTGTGGGTATTTACAGTATAAACACATTGTTGATCGATTGAAATTATGATTTGTTAGACATGACGTAACTACACACAAGGAATGACAATTATGTTAATCTTACGATCAATGAAATAATAACCAGAGAAATATTGGAAGCTGTATCTGAATAACTGGGACATAAACTCATAACTCTAGTCTGACAATGTGTAGGTTTAATAAATTACTCAATCATTATCCCGGATTTCTTTTATTTGATTTGTTGTGACTAGTATAGTTTATATTAATAATATAAACCAATATAATTTAAGCCGTGCAGTAGCATTAATATGTCGACGTTAATGGCGATATAAACATTTCAATACAGATGCATACTATATTGGATTCATGATCTATTTGACCCATATCACATTTGTATGCAGCTTGTGTGCGTACCAACAACTGAGAACTCACGACTCAATCCAACCCAATGAACGATATCGGTCGTTTCCACTCAATAAAATAGTTCTATTTCTTGCATACATAATGCAATATTCGTATTATAGGTCAATGTCAGCTAACTCGTGGGAATAGAGATGTCAAGTAATTGGCCATGCACTGTAACACAATGGCACTCATTTTAAGTAGATTTGTGTGTCGTCACGGAGGCCTTTGTTCTATGTATAAGATATAGATAAGCTGCCATATGTTTTCTACATAGCTCTGTGTAGAAAAATTGCGAATGGAACAATTGTGAATTACATTTTAAAATGTCTCTAAGACTATCACACACACCTGACCTTTTTCACAGTATCACGTTTATTGAACTGAATTATAATATTCATAATATAAATAGTGTAGACTTTGGCGACGAACAGTTGAAAATTGCTACTTTTGATAAATATCTGAAACGATGGGTATATTCGAATTTACCGTATTTCTGACAAGGTACGTGATATTGGAACGTGGTGTTATAAAAAATATCACATCGCTTTATCACAAGGACTTATATAGAGGAGACAATATTGTAATAGATCGTAAAACAACTTTAGGGATTGAACAATTCTGATGATGATTTTGGGAATTGAATAAGACCATCTCCAACATCTTACAAAAGAAATGTGTAGACAGTGTTCGTGTAGTTCTTCGCGTAATCCAGAAAAGTACAAGTCGTACAAAGAAGCCAAACGGGCACATATGAGCATATTTGTATACAAGAATCACTATTAAAACACGATATGCGCACACTCGTAATATAATCTACAGGGAAGAGACATTCACGATTTTAAAATAATATACTAACTAGGACACGTTGTTGACATATTTTCTAACACATATTTTAAAGTAGGGAAACGGTCTTAACATAACTTTGTTTTAATATTGTTGGGTTATACAGCCAATCAAAAACTGTTATTTCAATCGCATTTTCCAGCGCAGATTTCCATCACCGAATATCGCTATCTACATGTATCAGTAGGTGGCAATTGCACTATAGCTATCCGCTTATCATACGTGATTATGATTTAAATACACGCAAACAGGTCCCAGTGTCAGTAATGATTGGAAATCGTAAACCTTCTAAAAGGGATATTAGGTCAAGTGGAAAACAACCCGGCTTTCGTCTTAATTTCAATGCATATTAATTGAGTTTGAATATTTCAAAATCGGATATAATGACGCCGAGTTCTACAGGGAGAAAGATGAACCACAAAAAAACCATCAAAGGAATTTTATAATGTGAAGAAGAGCTCCTTGTCGTAATTGAAATTGAAATCGGGCATGGTTAACTTTAATTTATAGTCATTGGACTGGTGATTAGACGCCTAAGGGTTTCTATGATCAACGGGCAACGAGTGTCGCGACTTTATGCTTAAAGCACAATACTTAAGTCGTTGACATTTGCAACTGATTACTGAACTTTAAAATCACAAATCGAATCTCTTTCAGAAGGGCATGGAATACAGTATCATGGGTTTTCCTGAGCTTGGTTAGTTTGGCATATTATGTACAACTACTTTGCAGGTTGAGAGTTTCGGGTCTTCTGATAATGAAATCGGTCGTCAATATTTGAAATGTGCTATGACGTTTTTCATTTACATTGGTCATGGAAAAGAACTACCTACTTTTAATTTGTAACTTTGCGTCAGAGTGGCTAGTTAGATGGACATACTAAGTTTACAGAGGAACCAACATAAATTTCACACATTTTTCAACCAATGGAAAATAAAATTATGAAATATTCCATATTGTACATCAGTAAAGGTATATATTTCATATATTTATTTTAAGGACTAGGTGAATGATGATGAAATATATTCTACATAATTATATGCATGTTCACGGTTGTGTGTTTTGATTCTGGTTCGAGTGTAGAATATCCAATCAACGCTCGCCAAACTGCCGAGGCATAGATACCAAAGCAAATATAACAAATTGTGAATTTGTTGCACGTGTTAATCAAATAGGTTTGCATCCGGGCTATTTTGTAACATGAGACAATAAACATATAAAATAATGATTAAATGAACAAGAAATAGGTTATTCTGTCGGTTTGATTCGTAGTTAACAACAAATAACATATTTGACTGAGGTGCCTATTTATCAGCTTATAAGCAACTGCATTCCTTGTCGTTTCATTTCATATGTTGAAACAACAATATCGAGTGTATACAAATGTGAGATAATCCAAGGTCACAAAAAACAGAGAGATTCTCACATTTACTGTGATACTGATTGTAATAGCGGCCAGCCCGAAGCAAAAAAAACCATATACAATTTCTAAATGAAAGCATCGCAAATAGGTAAGCGTGAGTTAATGAATTACTCGATATAAAAAAAAGAGTGAATGCTCCCACTTTCGAAGCATACAATAAAATGTTCGATTAATGGTGCATGGCAGTGATATATCACACAGTTTGGCAGGCAACTAAAATGAGAATGTCATGTCCTTGTCATATTTGAAAACGTTTCATTATAATTCAAGGTATGCTTTTCTTCATAATTCTAAACGAGCATAATATATATACCGGTATATATACATATGAATATAAGAGTTGACATTTAATTGACTTGACATTTATTTGGGTGATGAAAAACACATTTATAATGCTTTTTAGTGCTTTTCCCGTAAATTAGAATGGTGAAGACCGACGATGTGTTGGAAATT